TCCTGGTTCATGTGATTCTCCTGCCTCAGCCTCCTGAGTAGCTGGAATTACAGGTGCATGCCACCACACCTGGCTGATTTTTCGTATTTTTAGTAGAGACAGAGTTTCACCATGTTGGACAGGCTGATCTCAAACCCCTGATCTCAGGTGATCCACCTGCCTCGGCCTCCCAAAGTGTTGAGATTACAGGCGTGAGCAACTGCGCCCAGCCGCTCCTATTTTTCTTTTTTTTTTTAAGGAGAGAGGTTTCTCTGAACTCATATTAAATATCTAGCTACGAAGATACTGTCACAATAAAACATATATTTGACTGTATTTGAGAAAAGAGGTGAGCCTCTCTTAAACACTTTCCTAATGTGTTTTTAGTTGATTCCCTCTTTATGATTTGGCCAGTTGCTCTATCAGAGAATGTTTGTTCCTTACATTATTACAGTATGTGACTGGGGTCAGATCCAGCTTCATCTGTTAGCAGGTGACAAATAATTCCCTAAGAAAAATTCTTATAATTCTCGAAGCCTTTTGCAAGTCTTACAATCTCTTCAAACTTGCCAATTAGAAGAGGAATTAAAAGGTGAGAAAAGATAGGTTTTCTCCTCAGAATTTCAATATATTTGTTTAAAGTCCAACTATTTAAACGTTCTGTCTTCCTTCTACCAATAATGGCAGCAGTGAATTTACTACAGGATGGTTACAGAAGTACAGCCCTGGAGCCAGAGGACCTGAGTTCAGATCCTGACTCTGCCACTTGGGTGTTGTGTGAGGTTGGGAAAATCATTTAGCTTTCTGGGGTTCAGCTTCCTCCTCTGTAAAATGAGACTAATAATGATAGTACCCATCTCACAGCACTGTTGTGAGGATTATTCAAGAGTTAACATATGTAACAGGTCTATAGCAGTGTTGGTCACAAAGTATCAATCATGTAAGAGAATGTTCTTATCAATACATTTGCCAAATAAGAACTTAATCCCTTTGATTCACCAGACTTCCAAGTGAGAAGGTAAAGTTAAATCTCTGTTTCCGTAAATCCCCTTTTCATTGGCGTATATGTGTGTTAGGTAGTAAACAGGACCTCTTAAATCTACGTGAGATTAGTTGCTAAATAAATATTCATGTTTCTGGTCTGTAATGTCCTAACCATCATCTTAATAAAGTTTACAGAAATCTAGAATGTTAAGAGGTGAAAAGGATCTTAAGGGCATGTGGTTGTAGTTTCCAGATTCCAGTGAATAAACCAAATATATCATGGAGACTTGAGAAATAATTCTCAGGCTCACCCTTGGTTTTGCAGTCAAAAGTAGGGTTTTGGAATCTATAAGTCTTTAAAACTTATGCAAACAGGCCAGACACAGTAGCTCACACCTGTAATCCCAGCACTTTGGGAGGCTGAGGTGGGTGAATCACCTGAGGTCAGGAGTTTGAGACTAGCCTGACCAACATGGTGAAACCCCGTCTCTACTAAAAATACAAAAATTAACCGGGCGTGGTGCACATGCCTGTAATCTCAGCTACTCAGGAGGCTGAGGCAGGAGAATCGCTTGAACCTGGGAGGTGGAGGTTGCAGTGAGCTGAAATTGTGCCATTGCACTCCAGCCTGGGCGACAAAAGTGAAACTCCATCTCAAAAACAAAAACAAAAAAACTTATACAAGTAATTCTGACATATAAGCCAGGTGGTTGAAAGCCAAAGTTGTTACTAAAACTTGATAAAATTTTGGGCCAGTCTGAAACCCAAACTACCTGGCTTATGATTCCGAGTCTACCCATTTTACTATGACCTGTTTCTAGTAGGAGGCCCATTTATGCAGATGTTTACATTCAGAGGTTTTGATTGTGAGATTTTCTTGAGCACAGCAGGATTTTAAAACAGAACTTAGGCAGACAGACACTACTACTTGTTATTCTCTTATTAATGACTTGCTTTTTACAATATCCCACTGACGTCTTCTACCCAGAGGCCTTCTACAACCTCTCAACTCAGACAGGTCTTTGCTTCTTTCCAAACTTTTCACATATAATAATTCCTTTATAGTCCATCTGATATAATTGAAAATTATTTCATTTTGAATGTTTTCCTATAATTTTACAATTTCTGGTAATGTCAATTTTAGAACAGCAAGGTGTGTTAGAGTTTCATTAACTCTATTTCCTCACTCTACAAATGATGAATCCTTCTCCACGGCCACAGGGCCAGCAAATCAGTCAGGATCAGAATCTAGTCTGTTAATTCTTATTTAGCACAAGTTAATTTTTCACTAAAAAGTACATATGAGCCAACACACAGTCTTTCTTGCCCTCATCCCATTTAAGCCCCACCCCTTTTCTTTTTTTTTTTAACAGATCTTTTTCTCTATATTATAGTATGTATTTGTCTTTCTTTTCCCCCTTTTCTCCCATTTGTTTATGTGTATTTCATTTGCTCTGAATTTTATTTTGCATTACGTGATAACTTCTGTTACTTTCATATTTATTCACTTATGGGTTTTTGGGAAATGCTGATGTCTGGTGATGTAACATCTTCTTTATCTACTCTATCAACAAAAGCCTTTGTCCAGTCAGCTGGTCAGATTCCCATTTTGGCATATTTTGTGCTTTCCTTTTTTAAAAATTATTTTTTGGAGATAGAGTCTTGCTCTGTCACCTAGGCTGAAGTGCAGTGGCATGATATCGGCTCACGGCAACCTCTGCCTCCCAGGTTCAAGCAATTCTCATGCCTCGGCCTTCCAAGCAGCCGGGATTACTGGCCCAGGTGCACCACCATGCCTTGCTAATTTTTATATTTTTAGCAGAGACTGGGTTTCACCATGTTGGCCAGGATGCTCTCGAACTCCTGGCCTTAAGTGATCCACCCACCTCGGACTCTCAAAATGCTGGCATTACAGGCATGAGCTACCATGCCCAGCATTGTCCTTGACTTTTCATGGCCAGTGTTTGTGGGAACATTTTTATTACAAATAATTCAATTTTGTGGTATTATTTTATGGTCAAGATCTGGCAATATTGAAAGAAACAGTTCTGAGAAGGTGACCATTTCTTCTCCTCTCTGCTCCTGAGAGAGGACTGGGGTAGGGTCTGAGGAACAAAAGGGAAGTGTTTATCCAAGAGGGTCACCACCCTAACCCGTGCCATCAGAGACAGCACAGCAAAGGAGCCAGGGAGCCCCACAGGCTTCCTCTCAGCCAATCCACCAAAGGGAAAAAGCTTAGTTATAGCTGCATCTTTGGAAAAAGTCTTAATCACAAAGATTCTCCAGAAAAAAAAAAAAAAAAAAAGAAACAAAACTGAAGAGATGAGCAGACTTATTGGTACCAGAAACCATCTGTAAAGAGGGACTTGTATTCGATGGCTATCAACAGGAGGTGCATCTTCAGAAAGCAGAGCCTGGGAAAGAAGACGAGGAGTCATAAGGAGAGCAAGGGGTCAGTGAACAAAAAAAATAACTAACACTCTGTGCCCTGGGCCTAGGAGGAAACCAACATCTTAGAGGAAATAACTCCCAATATGGAATGATCCCTTGTAAGTGAAACTACCTAAAAAGTAACCAACAGCCACTGCACCAACTGGGACAGAGATGAAATTGCTCCACCCCAACTGTGAACTGCTAAGTTGCAGGGACCCTGGGCTGTCCCTTCTTAGATCTTCAGTTTGTAATGGAGCCTGGCCTATAGTGGGCCCTCAGTGCACGTTGTTGAAAGAATGTTGTTGTCTGAAGAATGAGGGAAGAATTTCACTTCACTTACCGGGCAACTTCAGGAAAGCTCATTCCAGCAAAGTCATCAGAGAGACGTTGGGTCAGAATATTGTTTTTCATGCCATTCAAGAAGTGTTTCTGCCAGGTCTGTTTAGGTGTAACCTGGAATACATAATCATGCCACATGAAGCAAAATGACAAGGAATGTGGAACGTTAGAATTCACATTGCATATTCTGCTAAGCACAAATGAGTCTTTATTGCATGTAAGTCATAAAAAGGAGATTTATCACAGTGCCTAACTAGAGAATGTTAAAGGAATAACTAAAAAGCTAACTCCATCTTAACTATTTTCACCAGAGTTCAGGATGAGGCAGACACATCATTATTTATTTTCTTTCCAGATGGCGTTCAAGTTTCCTTGCTGGCAGTGAGAATTCTCCATCGCCAAGTCCTGATTTCAGCTTTTGAGTTAGTAAAAATCAGATGGGAAAGTTAATGTGGAATCTAAATTATCTCTCTCTGGATATGACTATTCAAGATTGGTTTAAAATATTTTAGTTTTCTACTAACCATATACCTCAATGAAGAAAATACTCATGGCTTCTGTCTAGTATCAGAACCCTTCATAAGTTCAAATGAACTTGAAGGACCATCTTGATGCATGGAAGAGAGAATGGAGAAATCAAGGCAAACAGTAGGTTTCCAGAAAAATGGGAGATGTAAAAGGAGAAAGATATCTCAAAACGGCTAAATGCACTTAACCCAACAGAAAGGCTGTTAGGAACTTGTGGCTGACGTTTGTGTAAGACCCTCTCCTCATCCTTCTCCACCTACTGCCAAGAGAATCACCACCACACTGTTCTGATATAGCAAGACAGTCTTCTTAAAGCCCAGAATCTCAGATGAAAATCTTGAGTTTCTAAAATTTAGGAGCACTGTTGCTGTGGAGAGTTATGACTGGTTCAGAAATTCTCTTCAGATGGTCATCATGCAGTTTGGGAAAAAAAGCAAAGCAAAACCAAACACAGAGACAAACAATTCTGCCCTACTAAAAAGGACAGACTATTTCAGGCAATCCAGTGCCTGCTTCCACCACCAAGATTCAGCTGAATGAATCTTTTGCCTTTTCCTACTTTTACAGTCCTCTCATGAGGAGGGCTCTGATCATTAGGTGGTTCATACCACTAATTTCCAATAACTAAAGAAATTGGCTTAGTGCTTCTAATCTAAATGTTTTGATGTTTGAAAGAAGGTAAAAAACGATAGCATGGGGATGGAGAAGACTTCCTGAGATAGATTTTAAAAGATCAGAAAGGAAAACAGGAGGATTTTGGATAGAAGAATCTGGGTGCTCAAGTAAGCCAGTTGGATCAGATCTAATGTAAATTTAAGTTTAAGGCCATGCTCTGAACCGAGGACCAACCGGAAATGTTCTTCGAGCTACAATTTCTCACAATATGATCAATATAATTAAAACACATGGCATTGATTCAAGGCCTTTAGTCTGAGTTCTCAGAAGTTTTACAAATATTAACTCAATACTTGGAAAAACCCAGTTATGAGATTAATAACTTTAATTTTATAGGTAGAGAAACTGACAGTCAGAGAAAGTAAGGGCCTACTCTGAGAGAAATCGGTCATAAAACTCTGGAGTCCCAGCCATTAAACCAAAGTCGATAGTTCGTTTTAGAACCTAAAGCACCAAAGAATAATGCAGCTTTCACACATCTTGCCTGATGCTGTTCAGTAAGGATTCCTGAAAGTAGGTTTCAGACTTCACTCAAAAAATCATTAAGTAGACCACAAATATCTCTCAATTCCTGTAAGCTAAAATCCATCTTGTATAAATAATGACAGGTGATCATCCTCAGTGGGGAGGTTACAACTCTAGATCTTATTTTTATTTTATTTATTTATTTTTTTGAGACAGAGTCTCACTCTGTTGCCCAGGCTGGAGTGGAGTGGCATGATCTCAGCTCACTGCAACCTCCACCTCCTGGGTTCAAGCAACTCCCCTGCCTCAGCCTCCCCAGTTGCTGGGTCTACAGGCTCATGCCACCATGCCTGGCTAACTTTTTTTCTTTTT